GCTTCTTGCGCAGGATGTGGTCCCACGTCCATCCCGAACACACTGCACACCAGCTCCAAGGACGCTGCTGCCTGCGACGACCACGACAAGCACGAGTATGGCCTTCCACTTGCGGCCAGGCCGCCTCATCATCGGGCAGCTCAGCGAAGCGGGCCCATGGCTTACGCTGACGGGGGCCATCAGACCAAGGCTGGGGCAGCATGAAAGATGTCAGAGATAAGTCAGATTTTCAGGGGGCGCCATTCCAAATACTTTGACCCGCGACGCTTTCCGCCACCTTCTTGAGCCATAGAGTCTTGAGCCAAAGGCTTGAGCCAAAATGGCTACTGACGTTTGTGAGTGAATTGCGATGGCGTTTCAAGCGGGAACCCCCTCCCTATGGGGCCCGCAGCTCATATGAGCAATCCGAGCGGGTCATCGGCCTCCTGCAACTGACGTTACTTTTGGGCCCCTGAGGCATGAATATGGAGGAAGTATCAGGAGGGAGCTTCATATGTGAGTGAATTGCGAGGGCGTCTCAGGCGGGAGGCCCCCTCCGTTATGGGGCCCGCAGCTCATATGAGTAACCTGAACGGGTCATCGGCCTCCCGCAACTGTCGTCACGTTTGGGCCCCTGCGGCCTGCATACGGAGGAGTATCAGGCGGGAGCCTCGTCTGTGAATGAATTGCGACGAAGTTTCAAGCGAGAGCCCCTTCCCGATGGGGCGGGTCATCGGCCTCTTGCAACTGTCGTGACTTTTGGGCCCCTGACGCAGGAATCTGGGGGAAGTATCCGGCGGGAACCTCGTCTGTGAGTGATCTGCGGGGACGTATCAGGCGGGAGCCCCCTCCCTGAAAGGCCCGCAGGCAGCTCATAGGAGTAATCCGGGCGGGTCATCGGCGTCCTGCAACTGTCGTCACTTTTGGGCCCCTGAGGCCTGCATATGGAGGAAGTATCAGGCGGGAGTGTCGTCTGAGAGTGAATTGCGGGGGCGTCTCAGGCGTGAGGCTCCCTCCCTTATGGGGCCCGCAGCTCATATGAGTAACCTGAACGGGTCATCGGCCTCCTGCAACTGTCGTCACGCTTGGGCCCCTGAGGCCTGCATATGGAGGAATATCAAGCGGGAGCCTCGTCTGTGAATGAATCGCGACGAAGTTTCATGCGAGGCTCCCTCCCTTATGGGGCCCGCAATTCCTATGAGTAATCCGAAACGGTCTTCGGCCTCCTGCAACTGTCGTAAACTTTGGGCCCCTGAACCATGAATATGGAGGAAGTATCAAGCGGGAACCTCGTCTGTGAGTGAATTGCGAGGGCGTCTCAGGCGGGAACCCCCTCCCTATTGGGTCCACAGCTCATTTGAATAATCCGAGCGGGTCTTCGGCCTCCTGCAATCGTTGCAACTTTTGTTGAGCCCTTGAGGCATGAATATGGGGGAAGTATCGGGTGGGAGCCTCGTCGGTGAGTGAAATGCGAGGAAGTTTCAAGCGGGAGCCTCTTCCTACAGGGCCCGCAGCTCATATGAGTAATCTGAGCGGGTCTTCGGCCTCCTGCAACTGTCATCACCATTGGGCCCCTGGGGCTTGCATGTGGGGCCCCGTTTGCGACTGAATTGCGGGGAAGTCTGAAGCGGGAACCCCCGCCGTTATGGGGCCCGCAGCTCATATGAGCAATCCGAACGGGTCATCGGCCTCCTGCAACTGTCATCATTTTTGGGCCCGTGAGGCATGAATCTGGGGGAAGTATCAGGCGGGAGCCTCGTCTGTGAGTGAATTGCGAGGAAGTCTCACGCGGGAGCCCCCTCCCATATGGGGCCCGCGCTTCATGTTCGAATCCGAAGCGGGTCATCGGAAACTTGTAACTGTCGTCACTTTTGGGCTCCATGGGGGAAATATGAAGGGGCGCCTCGTCTGTGAGTGAATTGCGAGGAAACTTGCAACTGTCGTCACTTTTGGGCTCCACGGGGGGAAAATATGAAAAGGGGAGCCTCGTCTGTGAGTGGATTGCGAGGAAGTCTCGAGCGGGATCCCCCTCCCAGTGGGGCCGCCTGTACCTCACGTGCTTTCTCCGGGTCGTCCTCCGGCGCGCGTTTTCTCTGGGTCGTCCTCTGTCACGTAGCCGCTGGGACGCCCGGCGTGCGTTTCCTCCAGGTCGTGTTCCGCACGGGGAGGAGGAGGAGGAGGAGGAGGAGGAGGAGGAGGAGGAGGAGGAGGAGGAGGAGGATGCAGGACGAGAAAGAGAAGGAGGAAGAGGAGGAGGAAAAGGAGGAGGAGGCAGAGGGGGAACCGGACGACGACCAGGAGGAGGAGAGGGAGGAGGAGGAGGAGGAGGAGGAGGAGGAGGAGGAGGAGTTCCATCAAAGATGTTGGAATACACCCTCCCTCCAAGTTACCTCGCAGTCGGCCCCACAACGGTTCATTTCCATTGAGGGATCTGCCGCGTTGGAAAGCATCTGTTTGAAGACCCGGAAGCATGCCAAAACATTGTTCTCGGGATTCCAACGCCACGGATCAACTTGACTGTTGCGTCTTGACGATCGTGGATCGTGCCAGAACGCCATTCTTGGGATTTCAACGCCGCGAATCAACGTAAATGTTGCGCCCGCAAGCTCCTGACTCCTTCCAAAACGCCTTTTCTGGTACGTTGATCGTGGGATTCTGTGGAACTCTTGCAAATTATATGAACCAATGTGCGCGGCGCTAAGGCGAGAGCCACATATTGAAAAGGGGTGATTCTCAATCAATGAAACTCTGGCAATGTTTAAAACGAACGCGCGCGACGCTAAGGCGAGAACCACATTTTGAAAACGGGTGATCTTCAATCCGTGAAACTCTTGCAAATTTTCAGAACGAATGTGCGCGGCGCTAAGGCGAGAGCCACATGTTGAAAACGACCCGCCCTCCATCTGTGAAGCTGTTGCCAATGTTTAAGCTTCAGAATCATAAACGGTGAGGAAGTCTCAAGCAAAGCGCCCGGCCCGCCCTAAAAACTGGCCTCGGGGTGCGACAGGGAGAAATCATTTATAAGGAAAAAGAATGGAAGAGGATGAGGAGGAGGAGGAGGAGCAAGAGGAATAGGAGGAGGAATGCCCGAGGAGGCCCCAGGAGGTCCCGGGAGGCCCAGAAGGCGCCAGGAGGCCCCAAGAGGCACCAGGAGGCCCCAGGAGGAGGCAGGAGGCCAAAGGAGGAGGCAGGAGGAGGAGGAGGAGGAGGAGGAGGAGGAGAAGGAAAAGGAAGAGGAAAAGGAGGAGGAAAAGGAAGAGGAGGAGCAGGAACAGGAGGAGGAGGAGGAACAGGAGGAGGAGGAGGAGGAGAGGAGGAGGAGGAGGAGGAGGAGGAGGGAGGGGGAGGAAGATTGAGATGAGAAGGAGGAGGAGGAGGAGGAGGAGGAGGAGGGTGATGGAGAGGAGGAGGAGGGAGAGGGGAGGAGGAGGAGGAGGAGGAGGAGGAGGAGGAGGAGGAGGAGGAGGCAGGGGTTGAGGCAGGAGGAGGAACAGGTAGGAGGAGAAGGAGGAGGCAGGAGTAGGTGGGAGAAGGGAGGGGGCGGGAGGAGATCCCCAGGCAATTGAAACATATTCTCATGTGGGTTCCGACCGTCTGAGTAATTTTTGAATTCTGCGGGCTCATTGCAAGACGCTGAGAGGGTTGATCGGCCTTTCTAGGGCCATCTCGCGATCAGGCTGTCAAATAAGCATCTGGGGACCTCTTGGGAGCTTCTTTGAGTCGCCTGGGGCTTCCTGGCAGATTTGTTTGGGCTCAGGTCGCGTCGGAGGCGCTCGGAGCGTCTTCCGCTGACTTCCGTCGAATTCTGTCAGAAGGTCACTGGCGGTCGATCTGTGGCCAGGGGCGATTTGGGGGGATTGTTCCGACCCACGCCCACAAGGATGGAGGAGGGAAAGCCCAGGCGTGAGGAGGACGGGACAAGGGGACGACGGGATGAATCGAAGAGGGCGGGATCGAAGAGCAGGGGGGGAAGGGAGGTGGGGAAGGTAAGACAGGTAGGAGGGAGGAAGCGGGGCAAGACGCAATGAGCTGGGAGAGGGACGGAGGGTGGCGAAGAGAAGAAAAGGAAGGAGGATGTGGAAGAGGAAGGAGGGATTGAGGGAGACTCACGTTTTGCCATTCCCCTGATCAGCGAAAGAGAAAGCAAACTTAATGGATATGGAAGGATGCGGACGAAGGAGAAGAGAAGCAGGACCTCTTGAAGGCATCCTGAGGATCTCCTGGGGAGTCTTGTGCCTCGTCCTGGGGACGGTGCCCTTCTTGGAGGGTTCTTGGGACCGTCCAGGGGCACCTTGGCGACATTTTGGGGCCTACGGGGTCGTCTTGGGCTCTCGGGGTCATGTCGAGGGCCTCTTCATTGTCTCGTTGGGACCTCTCGGGGCCCTTCTGAGAAGCCTCGTGGGCCCTGATGGCGATCTCGGGGACATCTTTAGGTCTCTCGGTGCAGCGGCGTTTCCCTGTAACAGCGTCCGAGTTTCCAGTTGTGTCCTTGTCGACCTTCTGCCCAATTCTTGTGACTGGGCAGACGACTCTGCGCCTGATGGGCATGCCTTTCTTCCCCCTTCCTTCCCTGCCTCCCCCCACCTGCCTCGTCCATCGCCCCTGGTCGTTCGTCGTCTCTCGCTCCTCGTCGTTCGTCTCTCGGCCCTCGGCGCTCGTCCCACCTCCCTCCGCCCTCTCCTCCATCTCCTCCCTCATCCCCCCTCCCAGTTCCTCCCTCTCGCCTCCCGCCTCCTGCCTCCAGCCTGCCCCCCCCGCCTCCAAGTAGCTGCACCCGCCGGGGACAAACAGAGCAAAGACAACCCTGGCCAAGAGCGGAAGATCCCCCCCTACCGGCTCTCGGGCTACCCTGCCATCTGCAGCGGCTCGAACGCCCGCGTCAGAGTTCCGGGCCACCAGCTGAGATGCGATGGACTCCGGCGAGTGGGTGGCCAAAGACTCGGGGGGGGCAGGAGCTCCCACTCGGAAACTATCGTCCCCCTGGCCCGCGTCGAGAAACCCTTGGACGAGCCCCGTCCCTCCTGCTCGCGGGTGAAGCGCCAGTCTGCAGCCGTCGGTTCCGTGGCCAACTCCATGATGCGCTCTACGCGACACGCTGCCAGTACAGGATGGCAAGTGTTGTGCATTCTTGGGTCGTGCGATGGAACCGTCGAGTGCTCAGACTCAGAAGTGCATGCCACACTTAACAACGAGACACCACATGAAGAGACTATGCGAACACAGGTGCTGTTCTAATCAGCGAATCAAAACCCACAAGCCAAGTTGCGAATTACCCAACACAGCAACAGTCGACTCACACCACGATGCATTTTACCCCCTGCAGCTCCGCAGTGAGCCAGAGTCTAAGCCAAAGCAGACCACACCATTCGACCACCATACGGTGACCAAGCTTCGGACTACGTGAGCCTGTGAAGATAAACCCTTGCACATAGGACCAGTCGCTGCCTGGCACGTAGTTCAAGGCAACCCAAGCCACCCACACACACACCCACCACATCACATCTAAGAGGTTTAGATGTTCTCTCTGGGGCCTACGGCCCGACAACCGCCGCCGCTGGCTGCTTGAGCCTGCGTCGGGTCCCCTGGCAGATTGCAGAAAACACAACCGCCAAGGCAGGCAAACCTTCTTCTATGAAGCCACACTCCGTTTCTTTTAGTCTTTCGACCTGCTGGCCCCCCCGTGGGGCCACCAGGATGCGAGGCTCGGGTTCTTGCTCCCTTGCCAATGCCAATTTGCAACGTCCAATGTTATAGTTCTACTCTCTGTTTCCTGCTGCAAGTGGACACTGCCCGCGAGAGGGGGAGAGGCCGAACACCACCCTAGGTTACCACACCCGAGTCTCGTTGCCTGCATTTCTGCTCGACACGAACAAAAATCAAATCCGCTCTCCCGAAACCAGCATCCTTAGCAAATTACGCCGCGCTCGCAATCCCGAAACCCGAATCTCCAGTAGATTCGGGCTCCCCTCCCGAGCCAGAATCATGAGTCAATTACGCTAGATTCGCGCCCCCGAAGCCCACATTTTTGTTTTTGTTGTTGTTGTTGTTGTTGTTGTTGTTGTTGTTGTTGTTGTTGTTGTCTAGCATAACCAAACTTTAAGAATCCCTTGCAAAAAAATAAGGTAAAGTGGACATTCGCGCGCGCAAGACGAAATCCTTCCAAAACCTTAGTTTTCGTAGCGATTTAAACATAAAAACATCAAAACACCAATGGTTTTTCACAAAAAAATGTCAACATTTCATCCCGCGCGCTCTTGCGGATTCGTAGGAAACCCAACACTTTTTAATCATTTCTGTCAAGCGGGCTTTTGCGAGCAACTTTTGCGAACTTCTGCAACAACGGTTGCGCACCTGCCAGGGCCATCATCCCTGTCAAATAATACCATGCGGGACACATTCGTTTTTTCTTCGCGCGCGCACGCCGTCGTCGTCGGCCGCGGGGCCCTGAATAGTAGCCACGGTCGTCCGCATGCCACGAAGTGAAGTGTCCGAACGTCATAGGGCGGGAAGCTGGGTGTGGGTGGTGGCGAAGAGTCGTTTGGAAATTTGGTAGAGCTTGAACCGGCCCCCCCACAAAGTGGGGGTATTGCCCGCCTCCTATGAAAACCCTGGCACTGGTGAGAACGGAGTGTCCCCACGTGCTAGTAATTGAACATTATTAATTCTAAAGAATAATTATTGTTGGGACCCCTGGTGCGCGCCCCCCCGCCGCGCCTAGGCCGCAGCTACATTTTCATCATTTTCGTGAGGAAGCCTCAGGTAATACGATGTCATCAAGATCCGGTTGTTTTGTTGTAATCCGTTTTCCCTTGCAAAAAACACTATAAAATGACATTTCTTGTTCTAATATAATCAAATTTCAAGAATCCCTTGCAAAAAATAAGGTAAAGTGGACATTCGCGCGCGCAAGACGAAATCCTTCCAAAAGCTTAGTGTTCGGAGCGATTTTAACATAAAAACATCAAAAAACCAATGGTTTTTCAACAAAAAAATGTCAAAATCTCATCCCGCGCGCTCTTGCGGATTCGTAGGAAACCCAACACTTTTTAAACATTTCTGTCAAACGGGCTTTTGCGAGCAACTTTTTCGAACTTCTGCGACAACGGTTGCGCACCTGCCAGGGCCATCATCCCTGTCAAATAATACCATGCGGGACACATTCGTTTTTTCTTCGCGCGCGCACGCCGAAATCTCCAAAAACCATTGGGCTTCTTAAGAATTTTAGCACCGCGCATCATAAAATCACACGAATCGCACCGTGGGTTAACAACTTCTGTGGGTTAACAAGGCTTAACAACTTCTGTGGGTGTACGAACGTAGGCTTAACAACTTCTGTGGGTGTGTACTCCACGCCAGTGTAGTAGCCACGGTCGTCCGCAGGCCACGAAGTGAAGTGTCCGAACGTCATAGGGCGGGAAGCTGGGTGTGGGTGGTGGCGAAGAGTCGTGTGGATATTTGGTAGAGCTTGCACTGCCCCCCCACAAAGTGGGGGTATTGGCTGGCGTCGCATGAAAACCCTGGCACTGGTGAGAACACTGAGCGTTCGGGTAAAGTGATTGTTGTTGTTGTTGAACATTATTACTTCTAAAGAATAATTATTGTTGGGACCCCTGGTACACGACCCCCCTCCAAAACCTAGGCCGCAGCTACATTTTCATTATTCTTTCGCGAAAGCTTCAGAAAAGTGGATTAGTACCGGATCCGGTTGTTTTGTTCCCCCCCGCTTTCCCTTGCAAAAAACACTATAAAATGAAATTTCTTGTTCAAATGTAATCCAATTTCAAGAATCCCTTGCAAAAAATAAGCTAAAGTGGACATTCGCGCGTGCAAGACGAAATCCTTCCAAAACCTTAGGTTTCGGAGCGATTTCAACATAAAAACATTAAAAACCCAATGGTTTTTTAAATAAAAAATTCTCAAAATCTCATTCCGCGCGCTCTTGCGGATTCGTAGGAAAACCATCACTTTTTAAACAATTTGTCAAACGGGCTTTTGCACGTGTACCGTGTACCACATCTTCTCAGGTTGCCTCACACATGTGAGGAATCTCTTTCTATCTCTCTCTCCTCTGGCTCTCTGTCTTGCTCTCTCTCTCTCTCTCTGTCTCTCTGTCTTGCTCTCTCTCTCTCTGTCTTGCTCTCTCTATGTCATGCGCAACGAATGCACGATGCGGGGCACATGCGGGGCCCAAACAAGTGATCAACCTCTGCGGGTGTGTACTCCACGCCAGTGTAGTATCCACGATCGTCCGCGCGCCACGAAGTGAAGTGTCCTGACGTCATAGGGCGGGAAGCTGGGTGTGGGTGGTTCCCGAGAGTCGTGTGGATGTTTGGTAGAGCTTGCATTGCCCCCCCACGAAGTGGGGGTATTGGCTGGCGTCGCATGAAAACCCTGGCACTGGGGAGAACACTGAGCGTTCGGGTAAAATGATTGTTGTTGTTGTTGTTGTAATTTTCCAAATTTCGCCATGCTCGCGATCCCGAGTCATTGTCCGTGTGAGCTGACCCAGTTCTATATTAAACGGTACTCGCGCTTCTGAAGCCGAATTCTTTTATACACTGCAACAGGTTCGCGCTCCTGGGGGCCGGAAGCCTTTCCGGATTTATGCAAGACTCGCGCTCCCGAAGCCAGAACCCCTTGTACATTACGCAAGGTTCACGGTCCCGGGACCACAGAAACCCGTAGTCAATTGCACCAGGCTCGCGCTCCCGAGGCCAGAATCCATCCTAAGTGACCCCAGGCTCGTGTTCTGGAAGCCAGACCAATGTCTCAACTCGTATAGCAAACATATTTTTGATACAATACATCGTACTCGCGCTACCAACCGCAGGATCCATTGGGAAATTCACAACAAATTCGCGTTGCGGAGGCCAGTAGTCTTTGCAACGTGTGCAAAACTTTCGGGTACATTACCGTAGATTCGCCGTTCCGAAGCCAGAATTCGATACGACATTACGCCGAGTCCCAGTTCCTTGTCATTTACTGAAGATGTGCTTTCCCGCGGCCAGCATATTTTGGAAATTACGCTTGGTTCGGGCCCTCGAGGCCAGAGCCTTTTGCAAATAACTCCAGGTCCACGCTCCTGAAAACGTAATCCCTTGACAAGTACAACAGACTCGCGCTCCCGAGGCCCAAGGAAACGACAAGTGTTCACGACAACCAGTGAAGCTCTGAGAAGGAACCACAGTGTTCAACAACAGCAGCAACCACAACACTGACACCAACGACAACAACACCACCAGCAACATAAACATCAACAACACCAACACCAACACCAGCAACAGCAGCAGCAGCAACAACACCAACAACAACACCAACTCGAGCAATACCAACAATAACAACAATACCAGCAAAACCAACAATAACAACAAACATTTTAGCGTATACCCCAAACCCTCGACACCCACCCTCCTCCTCTACGGATGGAAGGAAGGGACAAGGGGGAGGAGGATGGAGCACGAAAGACTTAGCAGGGGGGCAGCTAGGAGCAGAAATTGTGTGGCAGAACCAGTCGGGCAGATCGGGCGTGTAGACCCTAACGGGAGGGTCGGGAAGGCGGGCCCTGGCGGCCAGGTCAAGCAGGCAAGTTGCTGAAGCGTGCATCTTGCATGGATCGCGGGGAAGTCTCGAGCGACAGAGCGTCTCCCAAATAAACCGTGAGACGTCCACCTCGAGATTGTGATTCCTGAGGGCCGAAGGCGCGGCGTCAGATTAAACTGCGAGGAAGTCCCACGCGAGAGCACGATTCCTGCAACACTTGTGAGGCATTTTTGCGCGAGAGCGCGATGTGATAATAAACTGTGAGGAAGTATCCAGCGGGAGCCGCTGTTGTTGTAAACTGGGGGCCAGGTGCCCAGTTTGGTGACATCCCACTTTCCCATGTGAAAAACAAGTTGCGATCCCCGGTGGGAGCACTTCAATTATAAAACGCAGCGGTCACTGGAGGTGGGTGATGAGCCACCATGGTTCTTGTTAGCTGAGAATCCAACGGGAACGATGCCAATCATTTTGCCCCAATGCGCCATGGTTCAACATGCCACATGCAAAAATCATGTTGCACCCCCCTCCTGCGAGAACTCTATGAAAAAAGAAGGG